ACATACCATCATCTGTGGGATCAATGCGCTTAAATACCTAAGTGTTTAAATAGTGCTAAGACTTGCTAACTGCTACCAAAGTTACATGGCACGATTTGAAGGACAACTTATTATGGTTATATTGCAAATGGACTAGATGGAGAGCACGTAAAGTCGTCAAAAATATCATAGCAGGTCCTAGGTACTAACATTTATGGGCGCAGTAAAACCTGATAACGGATAGCCAGGAAGCTTATATCATTCGTAGTATAGAGGCCATATTGCAATGACTTTGTATAGAAAGTAACGACTAATTGTATATGATTAGAAATTAGTGTTGTTATTACACCACTCATCGATCTAGTGTTGGTTCATCTTGGATAGCAGAAAAAGACGAAAAAAGATGTTGATGAAATACTTTTTGCACGCATATTGTATAATACATTTTATATAATATACATATACACACATCCATGCAGGTATACGTATTACACATACATACATATTATAGAATTTTTAATAATAAAACAAGTACCTGCCAATTCCATGACAAACGTTTGCAAAAGGTATAAAATGGGCTTTGCGAGGTTCACCAGTGTGGCGGAATAGTAAAAAAAAATTGTGAAAGTTAAAAACGCTGTTTAATAAAATATAATCATATGTAGAAGGTGAGCAGCCTACAAGGCAATATTATAATCTGTTGCGTAAAGTAAAAAAATAAAAAACTTTTTTTATATTTAATACGATGGCGTTTGGCCACTATCTTGCGTGGTTGTAAACGATGATGTATATAAGGTAATATTATAATATCCATAGTTACACCAACCGCCTGTAAGTGCCTATTGCGGAGAAAAAGCCCTTTCTCACACGGAGATGGTTTGAGCATGAATAACCACGCTTGCTCAAGGCGCATTGGTGATTTCAAACTATAATTAAAAATTATAAGCCCAGGTTTACTCACGATGTTTTCCTTCACCGTTTCTAGTCATATACTTATTCTTAGAAAATACATAATAATTTGGAAAATATCACATAGGATACCAACGAATGCCCCTTAAACTGTCAAACAACGCGAGGACACCGGTGACCGCAACCTATTGTTCTTTAATTGTGTCTATAATGACGGTGCTCAAAAGGTTAAATAATGTATCTTTTCTTACTAATAATCTGGAAAAGTATAAAGTTATAATAAACAAATTATTTGAGACCGTTAACCTTTAACCAGCTCGGTCAGGACTACACCCGGTTTCTAAGGCTTCTTCCCGTTTTACAGTGGCTTCTTGGGTATCCCTTGCAACTTAAAACTTATCTACATTGTGTTTATTTTAGTGGTAATTCAGTACATCTGTGTAATGTGTATTTAATATTATTATTTCCCTTTTTATATTTAAACTTGAATACGCTTTTAAATATTTTCGTAGAAAAAAGCAATTAAATGTAATGTATCCCACCGGGCGGTTACGGGAGGAATCCAAGCCACGCTTACCACTGGGCCCGGGTTCCAGTGAAAAGAATTCAACAAATGAAAGTGTCCAGAAGTACTAATTCAAGAAGTATTATTAAAAAATATTATTATACATAATCATAGAAATACCAACCGAAATTTATTACATAAATAATAATAAATGAAAATTATTTATTATTTTTGTTATATTTTTTACATCATAGATTAGAGGAACGCCCGGTTTAGAGGCCTGTCATAATTTCTTTTTTTTAAACGTTGCCCCACAAACATACAAGTTCACATACACAATGACACCCAGACCCGGAACAACAATCTGTGGATTATATACAGTGTTGTTTCGTGCGGGAATCGAACCCGCGACAAGTTCTACGGCAGCCGGTTACCCCCCAGCCACCGCACCAACCGTGAAGTCGTTAATTATTTCTGTTAAGTTCCCACTATCACTAGGCATGTTATATTGGGTGTCAATGAAGTCCACGATCAAATGGCACCAGGTGATCGACAAGATTCCAACAGTTATCAGAAAAATATAAGTGAAGCTATATTTTTCCCTGGGAACGCGGGCGAAGCTAGTTCTTAAATAAAGTTTATCGGATACCTTTAAAGTATTCTTATTAACGTGCTTAGCAAATTTGATAATCAATTTTAATCAATAATCCTGACTCAACGATTTGATGAGCCTTGACCAAACAGACTTTGTTTCCTTTCCCAATTTACTGTTGATCAAAATATTGCTTAGTCGATGTAATGTTATGATATCGTCCCTCCATTAAGTTAAGAGCACTAGAGTGAGAAAGATAGCTGACTTGGCACCCGCAACACTGAAAACACAATTTATAAATGCAATCAATATGAAAGCCTTCAACTTCATCAGTTTGATTTACTAAAACCAATATATTTTTTCATAACGCTAACTGTTGGCTATCGAAACCTATCGCACTTATGGCCGCGTTCAATTACGGAATTTAACGATACTTGATTGAGCACAAGAGAAGCCACACAAGTAAGCCTCACAATGAAAATAAATTACAATGAATCCACATGCTAATGACAGTAGATTCAATAATGGAAATTCGTTCAAATACACGAGTAAATTGTGTGATTGACATCACATTCAATAATAATTATCGTATTCATACTCGTATTAATTAATGAATAACAATAATTTAGCAGAGTACCTCAAAACTATTTTAACTTGGTCAAAACAATACATATCAAATCTGCGACAAAAGTATTTGTGTAAGTACTATAAAGAGCATACCTAATTGTAGGATATCATTACTACTCACATATTGTTTCTTAAAAGTTAAATTAAAAAATATAATTCATCAACAGCCTTCTCATAAATTCTCACTGCTGAGCAAAGCCTCTTCTCACAAGGAGAAGGTTTAAGCATAAATTAAACACAATTGCTCAATGCGGGTTGGCGATTACAAACTTATAATTGGAAATTATTAGTCCAGGTTTCCTCACAATGTTTTCCTTCAACGTTTGTCAGTGGTTAGATACCAATAATCTTAGAAAGTACGTATAACTCGGAAAAAGTCACATTAGTATAAAATCGTGGTGATTAATGCTCAAAACCTTCTCCGTGTGAGAAGAGACTTTGTTCAGCAGTGGGCGTATAGGCTGTTGATGAAGAAGATGAATATCTAACTGCATAATATAATAAAAATAATTTCACCAGCACCGTGGCAATATTGTAGCTCGCTATTAACATTTCATAAAATCCCAGACTGTGGCGTGGCCCGTTTGTGCTATAGAATACTTTTGCAGCGGCGAAAAAGTTTCTTTTAATCTTCTTTTAATGAAGTTATAGTAGCAGACCCAGGTAAGACACTTTCAAGTACAAACAAAACCTATTTCATAATAAAAATAAAGTAAAAGAGTTTTACGATAAAATATTGCTGTTGGAAATAAATTAAATAAGAAGGACGATTCGAAATACAATAATATCATATTATGTAAATATATGTTGTACTATTTGACCGCTATGTTGCAGAATGCCACGGACGTATTTTTATTGTATACTTTACACATTCAACATTACATACAATGAACAAATAATATATGAGTTTTGCTTGTATTTTTATGAAATTGCGCGGTGTTTAATGAATTAATCGTAGTAACAAAAAACCTATCTAGACAGGTGGCAGCGCATTTAGTCAAGTACAGAACTATGTTTAGTTTACCATAACTAGAGATTTTTTTTTTTAAAGAACGTTGCCCCACATTAGGATTTTCTCCTGTGTCGTGGGTGCGTTTACAAACATACAAGTTCACATACACAATGACACCCAGACCAGAAACAACAATTTGTGGATCACACAAAGTGTTGTTCCGTGCGGGAATCGAACCCGCGACACGTTGCACAGCAGCTGGTTGCCCAGCCACCGCGCCAACCGTGCAGTCATTGAGATTGAATGACACAGTTTCATACTGCGCCATAGGTTTGCACTCGCACAAGGCTCGTAACGGCCAAAATGCAGCGAACGATAGAAAGCATATTAAAATATGACTTTTATCAAATATTTGTCCACCAGAACAAAGTGCGTATTAACCAAGTATTTAAAAAGTAACTATGTTCTAATCTAAAAGACAGCAGTTCCATTACATAAACTTCTACATGTAACATTCTTACAGACTATAGAAAGGAATGACGTTGCAAATAGAAGAAATATTGCTAGAGATGGAACCTCAGAATGGCTCTTAGGGCATAATGTTCGACCAGCGGGAGCGAAAAAAGACATAGTGATCGTATGCGGGCACGTAAAGCAAGCCGGGTTTGCGTGTTCCAACGGTATTAAAGGAGCTGGCGAGCTGTGGCTTCAGTGATTCAGATAAACGTTTCGGTCAGCAACCATATATCAAACGGATGACACTTTCAGAATACGGGTGTTCTCACTTTTTCACTGTACGACCGATAAAGATGTCCAATGAAGTGTTCCGGCTCTTGTTTGTGGAGATTTTCATAGACGAGTGATTTACAACGGGTGCAACTCTAAAACATCTATTTACTGTTGATACTTATGATACTGATGTGATAGTTAGGTATTTTGAATTAATATTTCAAACCTCTCCAAGAAATGGATAATAATCTAGGTTTTATCCATGGTTGTACTCACAGTTACCAACAATAAAGTGCTACTTCTTCAAATAATTATTAACTAGTATACATTTTCACCGTCCAAAACGCATCGTTTCACTGTCATTTTCGCATGACCTGCCGGTATTAAATTCAAACATGTATAATATCCGCCGGCGGGCGATAGGTTGCACACCTGCCACAGTTGTCATAAACTATCGACGCGGAAAACGCAGGTACACATGGACGATTTATTTTTTAACGCTGTTGTAAACATGAAACATTCTACCATGAATAAAACATCTTTTATATTTAACTATGTATAATTTATCATTCAGTCACAAGTGGATTAATGTTATTTAAAAACCATCTTTATTATCATTATCATAATTACAGTAATGCAAGCAGTTTTATTCATCTAATTTAGAAGCCGATAAAAGTAATAATAATATTATTTGTTTTTTGTTTCAGGTGCAATATTCGACCAGAACACTGAGGAAATTCAAAATGTCTTCAAGTACGCGATGACCATACACAATCAGAACATAAGCAGCCGTCGATTAGAACTGCAGGCATATGTCGATGTAATCAACACTGCTGACGCTTTCAAACTGTCTCGACTAAGTGAGTATAATGTGCAAGTGACACAATACGGAAATAAATAATTTTAGGAACGAATCCGAAGAGGGCCTTCAGCTACATTCCGATACTATTCCCTATTTATAAAGGAAGGAAGGAACGGAACTATCAAGTTTTTACAACGTTTCGTTCTGTCTTATAACTTACATTTTGTATCATTTAACTTTCATAATTTTACAAAGAATTTTATAATTAACAAGGCAAACCGGAAAACTGGGAACAAAAAAATAAAATAATATGTACTTAATGTCTTGCATTTTTATAAATAACTTTCAAACGATTTAAAAAAAAAATAGGTTGACACTAAGAGAAAATTGTTCTGGATCACGAGAACGATTTATTGATATAAAATAATACTAGTTACCTATTACTTGTCCTCTTATTTACGATATAAAATACAAATTAGAATACTTGTTCTTATATCATATTCGTCATCATCCCTATTAATAACTGATATCTCTACCTGAGTCTACCAATCAATTCAATTACTCGCCGGCTTATAAATGACACTATCAGTCTGAAGCGGACGCTGTATGACGCTTGCCAGCTTTGTCTGGACGGAGAAAACAGATGTATTGAAGCATTAATTAGCTCGCATTTCAACGTATTTGTATTTATCCAACAACTTATTTCAATTACATCCTTTTATCAAGTTTAAAACTTGAAACAAAAGTAGATGTTAACTAAAATAATACTTAACGATGACAGGTACGCTAAAACTTGAGTTCGTCTGTCATTGCAGCGGTAAGCTTCCTCGTTGAGAAGTGGCTTGAGAGAGACTACGATGTCCTCACCTACCGCTTAACACAGGTGCTTACACACGGAAATGGACACGGAAGTTTCGATTGGTACCTGTTTCTGATAGGGCGGGAGAAAACGCCCGGGTCATCACAGTGAGGACCGCTGACACGGTGGAGCACAAGGTAGTGGTTTGCCTGGTTTAGGCTGAGCACCACCGAGTCCTCAGCGATGTGATCGGCAGCTGATTCAGAACCAAACCCCGTGCGTACGGTACGTTGCGTCCCACGTGCGCCTTTAAGAGCCACCAGACCACCACAGTTGGTGCCCAGTAGGGCTAATGCTCGATACGGAGCCGTGGAAGATGATAAATAGGTTGTCGGGGCCCCGGCTCGACGAGCAGAAGTAGGAACAGGGTGGTTTTTATTCAATTAGAGTTTGACACCCCCTCTCATCTCACAAAAGGCGGAAGAAGGCAATGGATGACTTTCCTCCTTAAAAAGAATATGCTAAAATTTCACATGAAGAGATGATAAACAGTGTAGTGCGCGGATAAGGTACTAGTAGGTATATAGGGCCGCGTACTGGCAGGTTGCTCTGCCATGCGTGTGTCAACCGTGTTAAAAAATTGGTATAGCATTTTGTTCAACCGCCCACGCTAAAACAGTTATTATTAATCTAGTCTGAATTACAAACTTCTTGATTTGAATTCAAACCCTCGGTAGGGAAAATCACATTTGTAACATTCCAACCAATGAGTTAGGCAAATCTATGTGTCGTCACACGATTAAAATGTACCCAATCCGTTAATTTAAAAGAGTAGCTCAATGATTCTGTTCTATTTAAATTGATCAAATAGTAAAGTCTATCAAAATTAAATAATTAGTGCGCAGAGCTTAACAAGTTTTAGGATACTAAAACTTCATCGCCTCTGGAATCTGTTTTTGACGTAAGTAATTATTGGAAATCATTGAGTGTTGTTTATAAGTCAAATAATTTGAAAAGGATTTTATTAAAATACACTTTGAAATGTCAAAAGTTTCAATAAACGAATTGCCATAAAATTTATATAGGTACCTATTGGAAAAAATACGCAAATATTAGAAATTACTTTACCTAAATCATCACTCAGACAATTACTTTAAGGATTAATAGGGGTTTTCAATTACAGTTAAATTTAAAACAGAAATATTTTGGAAAAAGAAAGTAAAATTAACATCCGTGAGGTACCGTAATTGTAGTCCGTCAGTAATTCGAATATTATTATTATTATGTATGTCTTTACCATTCACGGGACCACAGGGTCCCGGTCATTTGGGAGGCGTACGAGGGGCCGAAGCCAACTGCGCAGAGGCCCTTTAGACAACATTAATCTAAATGTAATGGAGACACAAACCGGCGACTATCCCTGTATGCACTATGGAAATGCACCCAAGGTCCCCGGTTAGTGTAGGACTTTTTTTTTTTTGGGACAAGCCCGCCACAACCTCCCAAAACCGCTGCAACTCCTGTAAGCCAGGATCTACAGTAGATACAACCATGAAAACACCGGAACACTGAAGTCCGGCGCGTCCCAGGGACATGAGTAACTGTCTTGGTTCCCGCAACGAAATGAATCAGAAGATATTATAAGAGGAGAAGAAAAAACTATAGTTTCCACTTCCCTCGGTGAATTTCTGCAGGAGACAGAATGAATTAAGCCTAAAGGCACAAAGAAGAGACTGTACAACTGGGTGAAGCCCAGTCGCCAAGCACCACGGAAATTTGACTAAAAAACTAAGTGGGTCCTATGTGTGAGCTGTTATACTTGCTTCCAATAATAGGTATGGCAAAAACGCCTAAACGCACGGAAATTTGTTCTAGATTCCACAAGGTCCGTATAATAAGCTACACCTGACGAAACAATTAAATTATTCAACATAGTGTTACGTTAGTGTAGGACTATTGTGAATAATGGAAAAAAAAGAGGTAGGGCTATGGATGGGTTGCTATGGACTGGTCAATTGGGAACTATGGATGACTATGGCACCTGCCAAAACAATGTAATTTTTACACGTAAAAATGGCAGGCGGAGACTCGCCAACTCACTGACCGGGCCCCGGGAATGGTTGCTAGATATAGCAACAGAGGGGCAACGAGAATGTGAGTGGCTGAAGGGTTAAGAAACTACCACCGCTTTCTACTCAGATCATCTGCTCCAGCCGAAGCCTGCTGCATCCCTGGCCCACTCGCGACTTACGAATAGTTTCTTACCCTCCGAGCAGGTTCACTGCTCTCGCGACTCCACTCTGGACGGCCAATGAAGGCAAGCCAGAGGTGGGAGACCTGTTCCTTGTCATCTTTCGCTCCAGCCAGCCAATTAAGGCAAGCCGGAGAAGAAGGAACGGTGATTTCTCCCTAGAGCACTCGGGATGATGGTAGCCCGCGGGATCGCTAATGCCCGTCACCTCGCCTCAAGGTGCCCTGCGGGCTTATTATTATTATTATTCACGGAAGAGATAAAACATAGAGGCGTGTCAGTGAGGCACACGAGGCTTACGAATTTTTGCAATAGCCTCGTACACTGAAAAAAAAAATTGTTAACATACATCAAAAAATATTTATTGCTATCAAGTCACTTGTTAATATACGAGCGCACAAAGCTTTGTGATCCCGGGAAGCAAGTCTTCTTGATAGAGAAACGGAATAAGCAGACATAGCACATTGAAACAAGTAATGGTCGACTTAATCAAGTCTGATTATAATTTTTATCAACTGCCCTTTGTGCCTGTTACTAAGACTTGATAATCTTTATAAAATTCTGTGATTACTGTAACATTGTCATATATTAACTTAAATAAAGAAAATTTGTAGTCTAAACAAGTACCTTGATTGATCTGATCGAGTTTAAACTAGTATCAAACAAAAAAATAAATTGTTTTTATAACGATACCTAATTGAACCTATATAGATGCATATTCGATCTAAAATATATATTTGTATTGATCAAAGAAATATATTATTGTGTTCAGTATGTATAGTTTTCTGTTTTTATCATACCATAATACTAAAAATAAATGTTATCTTTTTCAGTGTAATAAAGTGATCTTATTAGAATCAACTAAGGTAATGTTATATTCAAGTATTGTACTTATTTAGAGTAAGTATACAGGGTTATTTGTAAAACACCGTTAACCTCTTAAGAGGTCATTGTACTTAACATTATGAAAAACTTTTATTATGGGACCACACATGATTTAACTCGTCAAAATATATGAAACAGTTGATTTTTTTTTTCGCGATTTCAGGTGTGGTCCCATAGTAAAAGTTTTTCATAATGTTGAGTACAATGACCTCTTAAAAAGTTAAAGGTGTTTTACAAATAACTCTGTATAGGATACAGTGTCCCAGAAACACTACATCATAGCGTTAGAATATGAACAGTCAGTGAAACTATACTTTTTTGGTAAGACTATAAGCTATTCGCATATTTTTTTGTTTTTCAAACAAATAGATTTTGCATGGAAAACAAAATATTTTCCTCTGACTGATCATATCCTGTCGCTCTGATGTGGTATTTCTGGGAAACCTGTCTAGGGGCTGTCACCAGGCACCACAATATATAAGTGAATAATAAAACACATTAAATTATTATTTAAAGGAATTTATTTAAAAAAATGCCAATCTTTTAAGTAATAATTGTTTTAAGAGTACGAGTAGAACAGCTAAGCTGCTGACTCAGTAAAGGCTGTTTTGCATTTTGATTGATGCGCGTGAAGTACAGTGAATCGAAAAAGCACATCAAAATAGGGCTCTGTATCCAGGGAATTTTTGCTGAAATCTGAAATTAGTGCAACTTGGACTCGCACTAATCAAGGTGTAATACTAGCCCTAAAGTGATTACTAAAATAAACAATATTATTATTATTACTTACTAACAGTCTCTTTGAAATCTTTCTGATAAGTATATAATAAAAAAAGTAACTTAAAATTGTAAGCGATAAACATAATTTCTTGCTCTTCTAGCAATTTCAACGTTAAAAAATATAAAAATTACAGTAATTAATAAAAAATGTAAGGAAAAAGATTGGAATAATTTTTAGTTCATTGATATTTAATTATGTATTTAGCTTTTTAAAATCTGTTTAATATTTACATATTCTTATTATTTATATTTATTTATATACACAGTTTTTAATTTATTATGTCAGATAGTGATTCTTTTGTTTCCGCTAATGATGATGCCTCTAATAGTGATAGTTTTTGCT